GCCGCGCCCGGCGCTGCTCCTGCTCCTCGCTGCTGGACGAGGAGTGCGTCTACTTCTGCCACCTCGACATCATCTGGATCAACACCCCCGAGTGAGTCAGCGGACCGGGGGGGCTTCGGCAGTTGCCGAGCTCTGGGTTCTGCTTTGGTTGGGAAAAGGCGGGGGGCGGGGGAGCGGGAAGGGAAAAATTGAGAACCACAAACCCCCCTGCAGAAATGGAAGAGGAGGAAGGAATAGTTATTTGCACGGTCTCTCCTATTGCTTCCCCCCCCCAGCGAGAATGTTCACTGGGAGAAAGCAAGCAGGGTTTGACCACCTAGTTTGAGGAGATAGCCCTAATAGCCTTAGCACACCTGCGTTCCTAAAATCTGGTCAGGAGTATTTCCTTTGCGTGCTGCTCAGCAAAGGCTGCAGGATACTTTTCACTATGAATCAGAAGCGGACAAAATGCCAAAAGTATGATTTTGCCAGCCTGAATTGGTCTGACCGTTTTTCTTTCCAACAAGTTAGGAGGCTAGAAGGCTTACTTTGACACAGGGTGGCTCCGTGCCACCTCTTGCTGCTCTGTGCTGCAAATTAACACATCCCACGTGTTAATAGGGTTATGTACAGTGTCCATTTCTACACTCTCCTCACCAAAAAAGTAGTGAGCCAGAGCCTCACCTAATGCTGCAAACCCTGACTCTGGTGATTTATTCTGGTGCTGGGTTTCCTCCGGGCACCGAGGATCTCTTCCTCGCTTTTATCGCTTCTTTCGGTGTTGGCAGTTACCAAAGTTCAGAGAGATGAGGTTTTACTGCTTTCTATCGCACAGGGAGGCACAGCAGCCTTATGAAATCACAATTAAAAGGTCATTAGACTTTTAATGTCAGTAGCCATGCTAATGAATATGTTGCAGGATCATCAGAAGCATTTGCATGGAAACTATGACCAACGAGGCATTCCCAATCCCACAGCCTTTACTCATGCAATCAATCCCATTGATAAGATTGCCCAAAATACCCCGCTGTTTTGAAGCCACAGAATTATTTGAATGACTTTCACGTTGTCTCTTTGATCATAGGAAGACAGTTCCGTATGGTCTCGGAGGCCCTTCTCGATCCAGAAGATCGCTGAAGGACATGGTGCCAGAGATCCTCGCTGAACCTGGCAGCAGATGCCGATGTGCCAACCAGAAGGACAAGAAATGTCTGAACTTCTGCCAGACAGGAAAAGATCTCTGGTGCGTCTATTGTTGCTACCCTTTAAAAGGCAGTGCATGTAAAAGGGATGGATTGTGGTACACTTACTCATTTTGGCAACTGCTGAGTGAATAATCTCCCCAAAGCCTTGACTCCTACCTGAGTGCTCACACTGCTATAATGCATACTATGGTTTGGCCCAGAAAGATTGCTTATTACATGCCTTGAGAAGTGGTTGATGAGATGCCTCACCTTGTGGACTGCAGACCTGGGTTTTTTTTTAACAGCAGCACCTTTTCACTTTTAACAGGGCTCAGTCCACAGTGGAGAAAACCTCGCGTCACCATGACAAAGCTGGCAGTTGCATTGGACCCAAATGCATGAACCGACAGCTTGTTGACAGCAAGAAAATGAAGCGGTGAGTTTCTTCTCATCCTGTTGTAGTTCCCTGGAGTAGCAATAGAGAGCACAGTTCACCTGCCTTTGGGTCAGCGTGGGCTTAGCTGGTGATTTCGGCTTGAGAGCTACGGAGGAATCAGTGAGAATGTCTTAAGGGCTTTTCTTCATGCAGTGGGTTTTTAGCTTGTGAAGACATGGGTGCTGAGCTCTGCCTAGCATCCTCCATTTGCTTAGGGGAAGCAGGCTTAGTTGTAGGCCTAAAGATACACCAAACTTCAGAAGAGTATGAAATCATGAAATTCTGACAAATAAATAAAGCCTGTCATTTTAGTGTGTTCATGCACTATCTTAACTACTTAAAAATATTGTCCCAACTATTCTAATATGAAACTGAATCAGAATGCCTTTTCTTAGATACTTTACTCCATTTTACTGGAGGGGAATAAAAGAAGATTATTGATCTATCCAGATTTTGAATATATTGTTTCTTCTGACTGGTGTGGCTGGCTTTTTAGAACGCAGGAGGCGGATTTCTACCTGCCTTATCTCTTACATTGCCTGACAAACCTGTGTAAAAGGAGTGCAGGATGCTAGTGATGGAAATAACTGCAAAAAGTTTGAGGAAAGGGAAAATGAAGACTAAATTAATATTTGAGCCCAATTTAATATTTGAGATTAGGAGTAAATTTCAGGACTGCCATTTGAGGTCTGTGCATAATAAGTTGAGTGGCAGTAGGCAGCAGTATCACTCCACAGTGCAGTTCAGAGATGCAGGCATTGGACTTGGTGCAGCTACGAACCCCACAGAGGTGAAGTCGGCTTTGAAGCTGACTGTTAGTACAGCTTTATCAGTTCCGGCATTCAGTGTTCGGCCATACGCCCGTGTAAAAGTATGGCATAGAGAAGTTTGCCCATACAAAAGAAGACTCTCTAGTGCTACTTTCAAAAGCAGAACAGGATTTATGGGAGCAGACAGCCTGGTGATTTTTAGTGAGACTTAGGCCCTGGAAGTCTTAAATAATTTTTGAAAATGGGGCTTGCTTGCTTACTTACTGGAAAAATGCACCCATTCATTGGAACCAGGACCAGGTATACCTGAAAGAAACAAAACAGCCAAAAAGAATAACACTGAAGACCTCTTGATTAGATACGTCCTATTTAAGGAAGTCTAGGGCATCTATATTTGAGTGAATATTTTAGCTTATTTTAATGTTTGCATTTAAATTCTGAATCCAGTATTTCAAGTGGCTTAAGTTAGCGTAATTCTGACAGAGGTATAGCAATCAGCAGTTACTGAGGATCCCGTGGCAGAAATCTAGACTGGGGCTTATTTAATCAAAAAGTGAATGTCTGCACGCTGGAGATCCATCTTCATTATTGTAACAATAAGTGTATATTTCTTATTTTTGCAGGCTGGAAGCCATTGGTAACAGTATCAAAGCTTCCTTCAGTATTGCAAAGCTGAAGGCTGAGCTCCAGAAAGGACGGAAGCTGAAACATAACAGGGCGAACAAAAGGCAAAGTGTCTGGGAAAGTCTGAAAGCATCCTAGTGGGAAGATCACCTGAGTCTTTCTTCATCACACTTGCTGACAAAGTGTCACCAAAACTCTCTCTTGACTTCTAACATTCCACGACGGCGAAGGGCCTCTCTGTCCAAGTGTTTGTGTAGCAGAGCAAAACACTAATGGAGTCCCATATTTGGAGGTATAAAAGAAAAGGATTTCATCATTTTGGAATTCAGATGGATGGGCAGAGGGGGTGAAGGGGAATCCGCGGTAGCATACATGAAAAGCCATCTTTCTGAAGAAACATTTGAATATTGCTTCTGGAATGTTACCCATCAATTGAGCAGCTTTCAGGGTCTACATCAAAAGCATCTTGCAAGGAAGACCTCACAGATGTGCTTAGAAAGGACAGAAAGCAAGATCTGAGTGGACAAACTTCAAAGCAAAAAACTCTACCTTTTGATTAAACTGCAAAAATGAAAGCCATAGTGCTACTTTAATCAGGACTTACTGCATATATACATGTCTACCTCGCGTACTGTTTGTTGCACTCCTGCTAGAGTATTTTTACACCTTGTTATTGCCTTTACTAATCAGCTGCAACCCTTTGCCTTTTTTCAGAAGTCTAGTTTACTTGTACAACCAGAGTTATCTGAATGTGGGTTAGGCGCTGTGGTTGTTTGCATAGTCAAAGTCCTTTGGTTTTGATACCAAAGGACTCTTCAACATAAAATAAAAGTTAGAGGACACTACTAGGTTTCCCATAACAAGGATATTTGGCTAACTGAAGTTCTAAAAATAGAGGTTGTTGTGTCTTACATGCCACCAAAAATGCACTGAAGTGGGGATGTACCAGAGGCTGTTGTGAGGTTTATTCAGTGCCTCGTTTGGCGTAAATGCATCAAGACAAAGGGTTGTTTTGAATTATGTCAAAAGGCTAATATTGGGTGAATGTTTAGAGCAGTGAATTTGTTCACATTGTTGAATTTGCTGACAGGTTGAATCTTATGTGCTTATTTTTTGTGTTTTGTATTTATATTCACACAAGTTCTTCATTATATTTACCATGTTGAATACACATTGAAGCAGGCCATATTGGTCTATGCATGTTTTATCTATTTCTGTATGAAATTGGGAAATGCTTTATGCCTATCAAGGTAAATATCTTCAGAAATAAATATTTTTAATTACTGTATTGGCTTGTTTTTCATATGCCCCACTTTTCTGTAGGTTGTGGCTCCATGATCACAGAGGTAGATTGCCCCATGTACAAAGCTGTAGATGAAGTGTGTGCACGTGATTGCCTTTCTCTCAAATTAGCTAGATCACAACACAGAAAGGTTATGCCAGATGTGAGACAACAGAGAATACTTGTTCTAGCTTCAAGCTTGCTCATCAAAATTTCATGGTGAAATTTGAATTGGACAAATAAATTCATCCTGGAGCAGCACTTTCACATGGCTGATGTCTTTTTCATCCAATAGTACAGATTCTAATGTAGCATTTACTGTACCATTAAAATATTGCCAATAAGGGGTTGGATATACATGAAGTAGAGGAGAAAATGCACACACTGGATGCTTTGTGGGCTATATTGGACTAGGCTGTGTTATGTTACTTATTACCACGCTATCCCAAAAAGTCTCAGCCCAGCCCACGGAAGTTAAAGATGGAGACCTCAATGGAGCCTGGCCCAAGCCCAGGAAACAGCTAGAGCAATAGTCAAACTTTGCACGACTCCAAACATTTTGGCTTAAAGTGGTTATAGCTGGAAAGGTGCTTAAAGCAAATAAATGGATTTAATAATCTCTGAACCTATAGGGGGAAAAAAAAGTACAAAAGTTAGTCCGTGGATAAAACTGAGTGTTTTGGTTTTTTTAAAAAACAAACTTTTACAAACAAATACAATACAAGGCGCGTGACACTGAACACTGACAGCAGTCACCATTAAAAATTTCTGAAATTGTTCTGGATTTCTTGTCAATATTCATTTGTTCGCAGCGTTTTTCACACCCAAACACCATAAGGCTGAATAAAGCCCATATCATGTTTCCTTCAGGCTGTTCTGCAACGTTTTGGGGCAGTAATTCAGTGGAGAGATGGCAGTGCTGGCAGCCCGGGTCCGACAGGAGAGCCTGGCCCAGGCAGCGGGAAGGCACCATGAGCCCCTGTGCTTCTGCAGGGCAGGATGCAGCCCCCGGAACCGCCCTTTGATCCCTGCATTGCCCACGCTAACTGCTTAGGATGCGCACGGATCAGTGACCTCTGTCAGGTGTGAAGTGACCTCACTAATGCTCCCTGGTTTTCCGTTTCTTCCCCTGCCGGTGGTTGCCTTCGGCTGGGAAAATAAACAAGCAAGTAGTTGAGGTGCTGCCTCTCACCCAGCCGAAGTGGCAGACGAGCGGGTGGCGCAGGGTGCCCCTGCGAGGTGCCCCTGCCGCGCATCAGCATCCCTGTCCCAGTCGCTTCTGTTTCCTCTCCCGGGAGAGAGCGGGAGGAGAGGAGCAATTCTGGGAGCAGAGGAGTGCCGCAGCAGTGCCAGCATTAAGGCTGGCTATCTGGATTTTGTAGGTGGCCAGGCTAAATGGTGCTGTGGGTGGGCTCTATTAGCCCAAATTCCTGGCCAGCTGCTTAAGGGATTCTTGAGAGACCATCCTAAAAATAAACCTGGTCCTTCTAGGGTTTGCTCTGCTCATGCCTGGACTCGAAAGCTGGCTTTCATCCTCCTTTCCTTCCCCTTAAACTGACCCCACTGCTTGCTCATGCTGCAGCTTTGTGTAGTGATGGGCACCCACTGGCCTTTTGGGGAAGGCACGGTCCCCAGAGCCATGCGAGGTAAAGTAAGAAGAGCCCTGCACAGCACTGAGCCCGAGCGGCGATGCAGAGAGCACAAGGAAGGTGAGATGCCCTGATGCCAGGGGCTTGCAGGCTTTGGGAAGAGTGGCCGAAGCCATTTCGTGCTGCCCAGCCTGCTCCAGCGGCCTGTTTGCACGTGGCGGGGGCAGAAGGGGATGTGCCCCTCCCCCTGCGCTATTTACCTTCTGGCATAGGAGCATAAACTGCATCTTACCCTGGTTTGCATTAATGAGCTGGACTGAAAACGAGAATTTAACAGTCTGTTTGTCTCACTGAATAAGCAAAAGGGAACATGAAGCATTTCATCTTAAGGCTGGCTCACATACAAGTACCAGGGTCTGTCCCAGAGGTTTGCTCCTTCTCAAAGCGAGCTCCATGGCAGAAAGAGATTCAATAACTCAGGCCAGAACACCCGGTGAAAAAAGAGAGGCATGGTATGTGCTGGGATTTATGGCACTGAACACAGAGCAGTGTAAAAGTACATTCTAACTTATAATAAACAACCTGAGTGAAAAAATATTCTACCTGAAGCCAATGGAAACATTGTGCTGACTGCAGAGGCGAGGCTGCAGAGTCAGGCCTCTCATTCTTCTAACTAGAACTAATCTCAGTTCTTCTCTTAAAAAGTAAACCTTTCATGGCCACGATCTATCTCCTTTTTAAGTGAGACGTTCTTCTAATCCAGGATGAAATTTGAGAAGGACAAAGGGAAGCGTATAGAGAAGAGGGGCACCGCTTTGGCGTGGCCATACTCTAATGGTCCCAAGATACACCTGACGTGTGACTGAAATTCCAGCTCAGATCAAGAGCAAAGGAAAGGCCCCATTCCCGAGCTGTTACCAAATTGTATCTCCCTCCCCTGATTTTTCCTGGGTTCGGCATGGCCATTTCTGAACGTTTCACAGGAAAAGACAACTATTTCTCTCTGAAATTAAGCTTGCTGTACTTATTTTTATTCAATGCTGTGTGTAATTCTTTCTTGCTCAGCTGGTTTATTTTTATTTTCTCTGGAAAAAGGCTGTTTTGACTATATATCAAAACAAAGAATACAATAAAACAAAGCTTTGACATGTGAGTCAGGCTTCAAGTCAGGAAAATACTACAATGCTACTGAAATTCTTTCCATCTTATCTACATAATTCTGACCTAATTTTTCCAGAAATGGCGACTCTAATCTGTACCATGTTATCATGAACTGCCCCAAAATAATTCATGCAGGATGTCCTAATGTTGCCTATAGAAGTTACCAAATACCAGCCTCTTTGTTCATGTTTCCTTACATTAGGATAATTTTAGCCACCACAACACACTTCTATATTTACAAACACAGAATGAGCTGGATAAAAAGCTGTTTGAATGCTATCTGGTGTTTACTTTCTTCACACTCGACTGTTTGCCTCTGTGTATATAAAACCATATCAATTTTGAATTTGCCTGCATCATGGTGCTATTATTAGGTTCCTTGGATAGAAATCCAGCTTCCATGCTCAGCTGATATCTTTATTTAATTTACTGTTCTTCCTTCGTGACCTAGGAAACAAAAGGACAGAGTTTTTGATTAATTAGAGGAGAATGCTTGGAAGCTGCGATGGTGAGTGTAAGTACGCGAAGAGACAGAGGGCCACAGATAAAGTACAAAGATAGGAGCAGGATCGTGCGAATGACATTTTGGAAACGTAGCCAGAATGGTTGTTCGTGTCTTTATTTTATATCTCTGATCAAATCTGAGCTAGGTGAAAAATGATAGGGAAGTCTATTTTGCTGTTTCTCAATATGGTTAAACAATCAGCTGGTATGTCTTAGTGGTGTGCCTGGGACAAGTTCCTCTGCTCTGATCAGGTCAAGGAGACCTGACTTCTGCCTGAAGTCCACCGGGTCAGTCGGTCAGCCAACAATTCCCTCAGCTTTAGAGGCATCGTTTATGCCAGTGAAAATGAGAGCAGAATTTGACCCAGAAAGGCTTCGTTCTTTCTGATATTGCTGTGATGGGGGCAAACGGACACTGATTTGCTGATGCTAGCACAGGGCTCCAGCGGTTTTTGCTGCTCTTGGTCTGGGTTTGGGGTTTTGTTTTTCTTTTTTCTCCCCGCAAGCGTTTTCTAGTAACAAATTAGATAAGTATCACTTTGGTAAGCAATGGGGCAGATTGCCTCTGGCTCAAGAAAGCTGCATTCAGAAACAGATGAACCCCATGGAGTTTGTGGTTTCATTGA